GTGTCATGCGAGGGATGTATCATTTGCGGGAATGCTATCGTCTCATTTTTCCACCTCGACCGTTCCGGGACAGATAACCGTAAGGGTTTGCGGAGCGGCGCGGTAGGATGACGGGTGAGGGTAGAACATCGACTCACGAAAGATGGGTGCCCAAGAACAAAATTGATGGGCTCCGGAGTTGCGCCTTGGCGGCTGACAACAAACAACGTAGTACGTGTGCACGAAAATAAACGCACAGGTGGATGCCAACCCACGCACTATTTTTCTCTGCGTGAAACTCAAACGCATTGCTCGGAAACTACGTTGAATAAGTCAGTACCAGCAGCAGCTGTGTGCGGCTATCCCCACGAGCTGTGACACACACGGGTGAGTTAGCCTATGATCTGTCTTAAGTGCGAAAAAACCGTGCCTGCCATTTGCCGGATCAACGCGAACATGTCCTGAACAGCGCGCGGGGTCATGCCGGGCTGCGAGGGAGTTCCCATCATGGTGTGCGTTTTTCCGGAACCCGTGTGGCCGTAAGCGAAGATGGTGGAGTTGTACCTTGAAAAGGGACAAGAAAGGCGTGACGTCCAGATAAGCATCATGGTACGGACAGGCAGGAAGAGGCTAAAGTGGTTGGGGGGACTTGGCGACGGCACCGATGAGACAGGTGCCCTAGGTGAAGCGCCAGAGGGCAGGGAGAACAAGATGGTCAAGAAGGGAAGACAACCTGGCAGTTTGACACCCGGACTCCCTCCGAACCACGACCAAGCACATTAAACCTTAAGGGAGTGCAAGTTCTCGTATCGAACTCTCATACTGCCCAACAGCGAGCTAAAGCGATCATGCCTCGCCCGTTTCGCCCTCCCCCATCAGCCGGCCCGCCAAAAAAAAAATTGTCGAAACTCAAACAACACGCACGACAGCACGTGACAGGTGCAGCGAGCGCCGCCTCTCCTCGTCTCTCCTCTCACCCATCAACAGCAGACAGGACCAAGGGGCGAGCGACCTCGTACACCTCCGCCTGCGACGCCTGCGGCGGGAAAACCTTGTCGAACGTGAAGGTCTACCGTTTCCCCGCCGAAGACAAAAAAAACAGGCCAGATCCCCGGTTTTGGAACATTTACGAGCAACGAGGTGTCATTAGTGTAAAAGGGCACAAGAAAGAAAAATGGTTAGTCCGACGGGGCAAGAGAGGTTCTGGGGAGCCAAAATGCCTCATTTGGGAACAACACAAGCAGGACAGAGATAGAGAAAGAGAAAAGAGAGACAGAGAAAGAGAAGAGGGAAGGAGCGAGAGAGACGGAGAGAGAGAAAGATAATGCGGTCAAACGGCGACGGGTCTGCAAGATCATACTCGAGTAAACTCCCGCATGGACAAAGATCAGGGCTCGTACGTAACCCAATCAATAGAACCTGACGGAGACCGCAGCTCTCACGCGTGAGGGCAGCAGACCACAACGTCACGTTCATGGGCAACTGCTTTTCAAGGATCTAGAAAGAGAGAGACGAGTACCAAACATCAAGCATGGGGGCGGTGGGTACACACGCCAACAGCTTTCTTGCGATGGCACTGACAATTCGACCTCGGTGCGACAATGCACTTAGAACACCCTTCAAACGCACAACAGAAAACCAATAAACAACAGCAGCCACGACCAACAAACGACGACATCCACGCCCGGCCAATCGCAATTCGACCTCGGTGCCGCAACGCACTTCGAACCGCGTCCTAACGCACAACAGCAAACCAACAAACGAACGGCAGCAGCAACGTCCGGTCAAACCCACAAATCAACCCCAACGCGACGCCGAGGGCGGCGATGAGCGAGCCACCTTCGTGTCCACGGCGGGCTTAGCCTTCCCCGTAGGGTCCGGGGGGGGGAAAGGCAGCGGCAGCAAGGCCACGCTGCGCTCATCTCGCGCCACCACCACAGGCGCCGTGCCGGCCCCAGGCTCCGGCCGCACTCTGACGATAACCTGGGGGATGGGATGGGGGTAGAGTACGTGTCCACATAAGTGCGTGTGTATGTGATATACATGTGCACGTGTGTGTGGCATGAAATGCTCGCGCAGATTCAGTTGGTAACCTCGTGACTTCTCCTGACTAACAGTTTGCCTGTACAAAAAAAACGCGTTTTTGGCGCAGTAAGCGCATAGCCATGAGAAAAACAGAAAAATGAGGGAAGAAATTGCTTGAGTGGTGGAGAGAGAAAAAAGCCCCGTGTTGGGTTTCCTCCTATTTGACCCCGGCTGGTGGCATAGGTGGGTCAAATATATCTGCCTGGCCTACCGAAAAGTGTAGAATGGTGCTAAGAATACATGCAGTCGTAGGCCCTCTACAAGGCGGGTATGCGCCAGACCCAATTACCCTCCCTATACAGGGAATCCGCCTTATTCGACGCAATAAAAGAACTTGAACAGGTCCGAACATGTCAGCCACATTCACCCGCCCTTTAGCGGGCACCCACCTCATACAAACCGTCTTATCGAGGGCCTGCGACTGTACCGAAAAGTGTAGACAAGAGCCAAGAACATATGGCATAAAAAAAAAGGCACGTACCGGGACGGTGATGGGTCTACACGTGGGCGTTCGCGGATGAACAAGTGAAAAGGGTCAAGGTGATGCTGTTTATGTTTAGCTGTGGTGCTGGTGCAGGTGTGAACGCCATGTCTCCAGCTCCACACGAAAGGACACATGCGTGTGTAGTGTTCCGTTTAAGCCACCGCAAGCAGCAGGCGTTAGCAAATAGCCCCCGAAGTACTTCGAGGCCGAAACGCCGATTCCTTTCGCACAAAACCCATACAAGATCACACCACCAAGGCTGCGTTTCGCAATCATGACTAATCTTGTTCTTGTTGATTGTTTCCAAACGGGCACAGGGCGGGTTCTGACCCAGGCATAGTAAAGCACCTTGCCGTGTGCAGGTGCATGCGAGCGAGAAACTTTGTTTCTTCGTGCATGAGCGCAATTTTGCTGCTGGATGACGAGGTTTTGGAGAAGGATTGTGGGTTAGCAAACAAAACATGCTTAAAACGGGGCGTTAACCAACTAAGAATCACAAGGGAGAGACTTTTCAGATCCAAGGCTTGTCCAGGTAAGCTTGCCGGTCCAGGTACCATCCAGGCTGACTACCAAACCGCCTACAGCACATGCTAGCCTTATTAGAGGCGGTCGTGTCACGTTTTTTTCGACCGCTAGAGGCTAGAGCGCGCTGCACTCTTCTCGAGTGAAAAATGCAAGGCAAGCACCGCAGGGTGGATCGGGGGGCTCAGGGGGAATGACCTCTCCGTGTGACTGACGGGCCACGGATTGGAGCTCAAACCTGGCAGACAAGCTGTGTGTGAGCGCTGATTTGAAATTGATTGGAAAAAAAAAAAAACTCTATTGGCTGCCTTCGGTTAGCACAATGATGCGGTCGCTCTACGGCGGGGGGAGATGGATCACCCTGGGCTTTCAGGGGAAGGACGTGTGCGAACAGGCGAACCGATCAGCGCATGCAGTAGAACGCAGCAGGCATCTCGAATCAAGTGAATTATAGCTTGTGACAAAAAGTGAAAACTGGGTTATGATAAGGAGGAGGGTGCGGAGGTCCGGCACGGTCCTACAGTTGTATGTTTGGTGGGTGAGGCTGCGCGGTTGAGGTTCGGCAAGGTACCATGTATCTACGGCATTGTTTTCTTACCTACATGCAACGATGACAAGCCTAGGCGTGAGGAGCGCGGCATGAGAGAAAGCTAAAGCTATATTACCAAGGATTTCAGAGAAGGACCAACCAAAGCACATCGACAGCTCCGCAGCACACACAACGCCGCATGAACTTGTAAGATGCTTCTGACAACTCTTCGCACGTTCCTGGCTGATGTGAAGTACAGCAGTACTGCTGTGCCACTTGGTCCCCAAGGTCTAGAGTGACGAACAACCAAGTCTCAATTCGCGCCATAAATCCACGCAATCTCTGTCGCGTTGTGCAGAGGTAACGGGCCTCACAGCAATCTGGAGCAAACGTAAAACGTCCACGGCCTGGTCGCGGTTGACCTCGGTCAACAAATATAGCCAGTGCGATACTGCGTGTATGATGTCACGGGCTCTCTCGTCTGTTCAAAGAGGCACGAATGAGATTGTCTGGGTACCATCGTCATCAAACCGACGTTTTCTTCCCATCGTGCGTAAACATTACACAGTAGCATGTTTGCGCTGCGCGCTGTTGGTGCATGCTGTCACCTCCGGCAGCTTCGATACCCGTTCTCTCGAAAACCGCTTCCCTACACACCCGTGGGGAGCATAAAATAGCTGGCGTTCCCACTCCTTACTCTATCAGAAGCACAAGTAGTGCCTCCTTCACTGAGCGCCTAGGCGCCGGACCATCAACCCTATCACGCGTACTACGACGTAGTGTACTGAGAGTTGTCAAAGTCTGTCTCTGTCTCTCTGCGGACGCGGAGGGCAGTTGGAAAACCAGAGGGCGAGGAATGCTGGAGATCCGCCGCACAATTTGACGGTTTGGCTTTTGAATCCAACAGCAGCAAGGATAGCGCCCGTGTGTTGCTTGCTGTGCACGCATTGGAATATTCTCCGTCGCACGGATATACCGGTAGGCCCCAAGCAAGTTTTAACACCAGCACAGCAGCAGTTGGCCATCGACACCTGTGTACAACTACTGCTGCTGTCTGCTGTTCTCTTTCGCAGCAACCGCACCGCGGTGCTCAGCAGTCCACATCAACTTGACCAAACTGCTGTGGGCTTCTCGTCAGGCTCACACCTGAACGGGCTCGCTGTTCGAGGGCAGGCCCTTCTCTCTGAGCACCGCCATCTCGCATGGGCCCGCTTCTCCGCCTCCTCGGCCCCGAAACAAGCGCCCCTTTCCAACGTCGCCAGGCAAGCACTGCTCTTGTCGTTGTCCGCTGAGAGGCGAGAAGTGTTACGACTGTATCGATACACGGAGCCTCGAATACACGAGGGTACAATGCTTTCCTAGCTTTTGCCCCCTTTGGGTCACCAGGTCACCCACAAACCAGGAAAGCCAGCCTTCACAAACCGCGTATCCGAAGCAACACGCGAAAGAGAGAAGCAGTCATACCTACCCTGTCCCCGTAGTGTTCGGGACCTCAAGAAGAGGGAGTCGCTACACACCGCCACTGTTGACTTCAGTGTCACTGCAAACCTCCCTCGAGAGAGAAAGCCCTACTGCGGTGCAACAGAGAGAACGGCTGCTGGCTGCAGAGGAGAGAGAGAAACAAGAGAGGAGGGGGTGAGAGGGGGTGGGCCTGGGCACGACGGTAACAGCAATGAAGGTGAGGTCGTAGCTCACAGCCGCGGCGAGTGTCGAAGACACGACTACTCCTGTGGAGGAGCTGGTTTGGTGTAAAGGTGTAAAGATTGAATACGTCGTTGTCAGTTGCCTCGATCGTCGATCCTTAGTTGCTTTGGAGGGATCTTGTGTGCTGGTCTGGCTTGTGGTGCCTGAAATCAGTTTCGCTACCACATCGGGGTGTGTCCATGATGACACTTCACATGGGATATATTGACACGCCCGTTCGCTATCTCAACATGGTTAAGTGGACTGCCAATCCTGTGCCTTTTCTCCACTCGAGCTGTGGCGAATGGCGACCTTTGATTGGTATCATGCGGTGGCCGCGAGCCGCTCCGATGTACATGGACGAAATTTTACCCGTCGATCCATCGAGCACTCCACGCCTGCTACCCCTAAATAGGCGCGCTGCTTCTTGGCGAAAAGCTCCTAGCTCCCCACCGCCCAAACATATATCTCTGTACGAGCATAGCTATGAAAGCGGGCGTCGGGGAGTTGTGTTGACGCGAGTTGATCCTCTGGTGTGGTAGTTCCCGCAACAATATCATCATCTGCGATTTACCAAAACTCGTTGGAGACGAACCACGTGTTGTAGCCCCTTCCCCCCGTACCTGCCCCACAGGTAGGACTGCGCCCCTTCCAGCATGCCATAAATCCCCCCTGCGTTATTAACTCCAAAACCTAACGCATGATGTGTAAATGTCGAGGCAACCGCACTGTCACTGCAGTCGCTACCTCCATCTTGCCAGCTGTAGCTCCAACTTAGCCGGCATGGATGCGAGGGAAAGTGTAAGGCTGACAATCTCTCGTGAGTACCAAACTTCGACGTTAGCACCGTTGACGAGGGACAGGGACGGCTGGATCCTTCTCGCGATAAGCATTAAATTCAGCACGCACCGCAGGAGGAAGGTGGGGCATGAAAAGAAAAAAAGAAGAAGAAAAAAAGCCCTGGTGTTTACCCCCTCCTGTGTGACCCTGGATGGTTGTAGTTGTACGAAAAAATACACTGAACAGTGTAGTACTCTACATACGCGGAAGAGGTGTAGTACACGTCTCACCACGAAAAATGGGGGAACTGTCGCCATAATAAATAGGACGAAAACACACACAACACACAAGGTAGGCAAACACACACAAAGAGTGATTATGTTATCCACACGGGATCTATTTCCACCAACCTGTAGTTGAACGCGCTCTAGGTCGTGAGTAAACACACTTCGGCTTCGCGGTCGACGAGGCAAAGACATGACTGAACCCTTCTCGCGATATTGACTAAGGCAAGCACCGCAGGGGGAAAGGTGGGGCAATAAAACTAGCTCACCAATATGGGGGAAAAGCTCTTGTGTAATCCTTCCTATTGTGTGACCCCGGCTGATACGTCAGGTATATTCGTCGAAAGGCCTGTAAACCGGCGCCAGAATTCACGGAACGAACACACACACGGACTTAACGCACACTCAGACCCCCAAGTTGTCTTCGCCTGACGGTTACAGACTTGGCAACGCCTTCATTATTCCGCATCAAACTCATGCAGTAGAATAGAGTCGTTCCTCTACTGCAAGCACTTCAACATGTCCTCTCAAGAACTACTTCATTCTGCAGTAGTTCCGATGCGAAAGACCCAAACCCAATCCCTCTGTCATCCGGAGCAATATTCATGTTCTCTCGAAACAATATCATCTGAAGACCTTTTAACCCTACAGCCATTGTTGTGCCTTTCTCAGCTGCGTTGCATCGGCAGTTTCCTCCGACGAAAATCTCTCGATTTTTCTTTCAACGTATTCACACACATACACGTAGGAAGCCCCTACCGATCCCGGACCCACAGCTACGCCGACAGACTTCGGTGTACCATTCTGCCGTGGAAGCAAACCAGGACAAAAACGGCATGATATTTACCCGGCTGATGCTCGATACATGCGAAGCCGGGGGCGGATCGAGCGCGGCCTTGCAGACCGTGCAGGCATACTGTTAGACCCTGGGGTTACCCCTATTTTGAGGCCAAACATGTGTGCCAAACCGGGTGAACTTTTTCGTGGCAAATAGACTGCGCTTTTCCTTCTTGGACCAATAAAAACGTTCGGAATTTGAATCAAAATAAGAACACACACGAACACACACGAACAGACTGGACAAATATGGTCAAGCGCGTTCACGCAGCAATGCGCGAGGTGGACACCCGTCACTGCGCTCACTGAGGCTGTTGGCACACACAAAAAGCCAGTACCCCACAGCCCGACCGGTCATAGATGGCGGACCCCACCGGTTCGACGGCGAACCCGCCCGCTTGGACGGCGGACCCGCCCGTTCTGTTGCCGAAAAAAAGAAAAAGGGCAACGGGCAAACAGCAGGGCGGTTGTGAGAGTGGGAAAAAAAAAAAAATGCGCGCTGCTGCTGCTCCTGCTGTATTTTCTCGCTCTCAACACCAAGTCTGTCGATGATAGCAGCTGCATGCAGCTTCGCCTGCCTCTCTTGGTATCGTCCTGCTTATGTTGGTTCTATCAACCTGTAGGACTCGGAGGCATACGAAGTAGTCGCACTAGAAGGGAACAGCAAAGCCGAAAACACACGAGGGCAAAGACACACACACACGCACGCACGCACCTTTTTCTTCAAATTAGCATTTCTCGTCTCGGCAACCTTTCCCCACGCCGACGCCGCCTCCAGCTCCCTCCTCGCTTGCTCTACCTCCATCCGGGTGCGGATGAGCTGGTCTTTCGCGGAAAGCAGCGGATTCCGGTTGTGCTGCTGTTGCTGCACCGCCATCACGCTTGCCGCTTGTGGACAAAAAATCTCAACCATCTCGCGCTGTTGATCTTGAAGCATTTTTTTCTCCGACCGCAAGTTTCCCAGCTGGGTCAGGACGTTCGCGACCGCCTCTCCATCAGCAGCCCTCTGCTGCTGCCTCTGATGCTCCGAGGCGTGCTCGCGTGCGATCGCTGCTTGCGCCCGTTGCTCCGCCTCGATTCTACGTCGCTGCTCCTCCCCAAGCTCCTTCGTCAGATCGGCGCGCAGGACTCGCTCTCGCGCCAACAGTTGTCGCTCCTCCTCTGCGGCCTGCTCCGCCGATTTGCGGACTCGAGCCTCTCTACGCTTCGCCAACTGAGCTTTTTTGAGTTTCTCGAGGGTAGCAGCGGCCGTACGCTTCAGGGTAGGGTAGTCGGCCTTCTCGGCAGCCTTGCGTGCGCACCCAGCCGTCGCTGCGTCCGCAAACGTGCATCCTTCTCTCTCGAGAAGAGAAGTCGTGAAGTTTTTGAAGATTTTTTTTTTGGAAATGACGCGACCGTTGTTTTTACCACCGCCCTTAGCCATAGGAGATGATCTGGTAATCAATGCCACTCGTCGGCTTCTAGGTCAATCGGGGATCGGTTTTTTTAGCTGTGTGCGCAGAAACCAGAGCTAGAGAAGTAGCGAAGGCGATTTTTGACCCTCGTCTAGGTATTCGCGCCAGCTGCGTCAACGAAATTTCCGTCGTTTCGGGATTTTTCAACCACCAAACGGAAATCGGCTTCGCTACTTCTCTAGCTATAGCAAAATTACAGGTGATTGTAGACTGAGAAGAGCCATCTCCTCGCCGTCTTCGCGCATTTTTGATTGCCAGTTCCTTCTCTTTGCTCAAGTAAGTAGGACTGCTGTCTGTGTGCCCCCTTCAAACAAAAAAAAAAACAAAAGCTATTCGCAGCATGCCGTTTGTTGTTGCTCCGTAGGGGGATAACCCCAGGGTCTAACTGTACACCCCTATCGGGTCTTCTCACGAAAGGGACGGTCGTGGAGCGTTCCTCGTCTTTGAACGGAGGGACCAGACCGCGGGGGTGCACCGCACCCAGGAGCTGCGCGAGCAGTTCTTATCCTTGGGATATGCTGCAGACCACGATTTTGATCCGGCCAACGGCACCCAAGACATGCACCGGGTCGGCACGGAGCTTGCCGTGTAAAAAGCACGCTGGCAGACCACAGGAAGACACGCTGGCAGACCACCGCAAGCGCTTGCGGTGGTCTGTCACCATGTCCTTTTGGGCTGCTCGAGCGCGCCCTCGCAGACCATGCAGGCACACTGTACGCCCCTATCGGGTCTTCTCACGAAAGGGACAGTCGTAAAGCGTTCCTCGCCCTTGAACGGAGAGACCACGACGCGGGGGTGTACCGCACCCAGGAGCTGCACGATATTGACAGTTATTGCATGCCCTGAGTATTGGTCCATGGACCGAGAGCTGGAAGCGACCCCCCCCCCCCCNCCCCCCCCTTCATCCCAACCCTCGTGTCCCTCCCAGATCGAAGAAGTACAGTCGACAACCAAAGCCCAGCGAGTGGCCGTCCACACGCACGTCAAGGGCCTGGGTTTGAAGGAGAATGGCGAGGCGATGGGCGTAGGCGCGGGTCTCGTCGGGCAAGAGAAGGCCCGGGAGGTAGGAATGTCGGAGACAAGAGATGTCGTTGCTGTTGTTCCTGCTGCTGCTGCTGCTGCTGCTGCTGCTGGTGATGATGGTGGTGGTAGGGATGGCGAGTTATCCATGCCGGAGGCAACGGATTATGGGCGTCGACGTTGTTGTTGTTGCTGCTGATGGTGGTGGTCTAGTTGTGCGTTATGCAGGCCACGATTGTTGTTGTTTTTTGCTGCTGCTGCTGCTGCTGCTGCTGGTGATGGTGGTGGTGGTAGGGTTGGCGAGTTATCCATGTCGGAGGCGATGGATTATGGTTGTCGATGTTGCTGTTGCTGTTGCTGATAGTGGTGAGTTGGTGTCGGGGGCAATAAGTTAGTGTTGCTAGTGGCGGTGGTGACTGGTGTCTTGGCGTTCTAAAGGGCTGTTGCTTCTGTCCAACACCTCCACGATATCCGAACAGACCCGAAAGATGAGAAACGCACGGATCCCGGTGGTCATTCGCTGACCGAGACAATTCACCCCGCCACTCGCGAAAGGAGTAGAGCAAGGCATCGTGAGAGAAGGGTACGTTCATCTCGTGGCCGTGCGGCAGCAGGGCATCATTGGCCATGGTATTCCTACGTGAGGGCCGGGACGAAGCGATTCTATTGCTAACGTCTGTCGGCCATCGACGCGCAACCAAGACCAACATCGGCCCGTACTCATGGCTCCTCGCAGGCGTTCTCGGCGAATCGCATAGCGTAATTCCCCCCCCCCCCCCCCCCCCCCCCC